GAATACATTTTTCTTCAGAAAATCGCATTTTGGTTGAATGCCTTTGGGGATTTGACAGTGAAGTGATCAATATCATGTATTTTAAATGAAAAAGAAAAGCATATGTCCAGTTGTCTAAGACTGCTCATTTCTCTCTAACTTTATGCAGTTAGTTGGTTACCCTCTCATCAGAGTGACTGCTTTCCAGGACTTGCTAGAGGCTTCACAACCCAACACCTCTCATTAAGTATCCAAATTATAAAGATGGAGGAAGGGGCATAAAACTTACTGGTGATCCATTTTTTCACATTTCCCTGTGTACTCCAGGCCAGAATCTTCTCTTCTTTTCAGAGATGTAGCTCCACTGTGCCAGACCATGCCATCTGCTATCAAAGTGTAATTCAGAAAAACTCTGTTACCACATGACTATCCAGAATAATGCCATTACAACAACATTACTGCAAATTTATGTCAGTGAAACAAATGCATTTTGCATTAAATACCTAATAGTAAAAATATGGGAGCAACAGACCAAAGTCCCTCCCTGCCAGGACAATGCTGCAATCACACTCCCTGTTGCCCATTCTTCCTGTACCATGGTTATTTCCCTCCTAGCTGCCCAGTGGTGCACTAGAATCCAGTGGCCCAGCTACAAGCGAGGGGTACAGAGCACTCTCAGCCTAGCCTAGCCCATCACCTGATGGCTATTGCACTCTGTTAGCATGTAAGAGATGTGGGCTCAGTTCTCCTATACTTCCTCCTCATGTATAGGTAAGTGGTGTAACTAGTCATCTATTTATGAAGAAGTGTTCATATTATGCTGAATGCTGATAACATACTGGTTCTGACAGACGTCTTCTCCTTACAGTGTCAAAGTCAAGTTGGATCATGGTACTTTGGAGGAATTTTAGCACTGGTTAAGGCTCCCCATCAATAGAACAAATCAGAAATATGCCCTGGATTTTTGCAAGTATTCTGATTAGTCACAGTATTTCAACAAGCATTCTGTAGGAGCATATTTCAATCCATATGTTGTATCTGGGTTAATTCTCTGATCACTTCAAAGATTTTCCTCTGCATTATTTGTGGTGCAACAAGTCAACAACCATTCCCTCTTCTTCTTGTTCAGATGATGGAAACATATAAACAGAAGGAGAAAGGTCAAAAGAGATTAAAAATGGCTTATGAACATTTTTTGGCATGAACCTTCATATGAGGCTTTATTTCCTTGCAGACTTTCAAGCTTTTTGCTTTGCATAAATATTCATGAATACATATACATCCTGGAATGTTTATGGGAAATTATAAAAAGGGTTGCAAATAGAACTGGTGAGGAAGTGGTAGACAAAATATTTGTATTCAGTAGAAAATGCTGATGGAGCAAAACAGAAATTGTTTGCAGGAAAAGGTCAGTTTTGACAAACTTCTTGATACAAAATCATTTGGAAGAAAAAAATGCTGAAACAGCCTTTTTGCCAGCCTTTTCATAAAAAGAATACTTTTTTAGATACAAATAATTGTTTTAAAATTTAAACTAATTATAGTTTTAAAAGATTTAAGGCAAAACATTTAAAACATTGATATAAAGTGTTCATTTGACTTCATCCCCTCTTTTTTTAAAGAAAAGAATGCAAGTTCACAAATATATTTTTTTTAAATATGACTTTTTGTTTTGATTCCAAACAGGAATAAAATTTAAAATACTGAAAATTCTCTCTGGACAGGAAAACTAGAAGTGCTTCAATCATGAACACCATTGAAACTAATTTGGAATTATTTTTAACATTGCTCTTAAATACATTTTTTACAGAAGTGTTTGCTTTGTGGTTTTTTGTGGTTTTTTCCTAAATGAACTATTTTTAAAAGGTCCAGACTGAGATTTAGGTGCTATAGCTACAATGAAAGAAAGATAGAGAAGGAAAGCACAATCGTTTCCATAGCATGTGATTTTGACTTTCTGTAAAGGAGACTGAAAGAGGGCTGCAGTAAGGAAGAAGGAATTACATACATTTGGTATCTAAATGTAAATGTCAATGTTAATGTATATGCATATGCAAAATCAAAGAGCTCTTAAGATCAGGCCAAAGTCTGTTGATTCTAGTCTAGTATCTATTGTATAACTATATGTGATGATGAAACATGTAGAGCCTTCACTTGTTCTAAGCAAATGAGTCATGAAATGCTTTTCTAGCTAATAATGAAAATAATAATATTATTGTCCATTCCGACACAAGAAGGATGTTAGAAATCTTTATACCAGTTAGAAATACTGTAAAGAACATCAAACAAAGAAAAGCTAAGAAATTGTGAGGGCTGAAAAATCTGGACTCAGGCCAACTCCACACACCAACAAGTAGCTCATTTTAGCACACTGGACAAAACACTTCTTTCACAGAGGAGCAGTCTGTTATTTCCTCCTCCGCTTTTTTCCTCTGAAAATTCCTGAACACACAGTTTTCACTGACTGCTTCAACGTTTTGATAGGCCATGATGGATACTGAGGAGTCCTAACCAACCTTTTGAATAAAGTCTGCACTTTGTCTGCACAGTGTTCTGCCACAACTTCTGGGATTATTTTGATGAATGTCTGGAATAAAGGGTTGACTAGTGCATCAGTTCTTCCCTTAATGGTAAGTACAGTACAAGTACAGTGCAATCCTAACTCAAACCCCCTCAAAATAATTATGATGTTGTGGACTTTTTTATCTCAGAGAGACAGAGGCAATTTAAAAACTGGTAGGTCATCTAAGTATAAAAATATATTGTGAATGATAACACCATGTTGTTTTTCTCTTTATTATGTGTTCTGGTCATTTTTATATTTTGAACAAGACTGCTAGAAAATAGTGACATACCAAAAATATAATAGCAGTAGTAGTGTTGCATTATTTCTCAAGGATCCTAAAGAAGGAGTTAGGCTTCATGATGCTCCAGAGGGTAAAAACACATAAAAAGGCACACTCAACAGTTGATTGGTTTATATCCATTTTGATTTCTGCTTAACTGATAAAATTGAAAGCATTTTTCCACCAAGTTCTGTCTTTTGCCACCTTTATTCTCACTGTACTAGACCTAGTCTTGCAAGAGTGCCACAAATATGAAATGAAGACTTCTTTTTCGCAAAAATGCTATCTATCAGAATTGAATCTAAAGCAAGTAGATTTCTTCCCTGAATAACACATACAAAAGATTTTTTCTCTTTGTCTTTCTCTTAGCAAAACTTGGAGTTTACACACTATTAGAACAGCAGTCAGCCCATGAGCCCCTTCTTACTGTGAAAAGAACAGAGATTTCCTTGTCATCACCCCCACATTTCTTAGCCCACTGTTTTCCAGTTGGGCTAAATTGGGCATGTCTACATGAGATGCTACAAGCACAGTAGACTATTTCTATTGCACATTAACACATCACAGTGTAAGCCATGCTAAAGCACTAATCTACCGTGCATTAGTGTCAAATAAAAAACATGCACTGGCGCTACTGTGCAGTAGTGCCAATTATGGTGCATTAAGTTTAGTACCTGTAATTTCCGGTACTAAACTTAATGTGCTATAATTATGGTACATTAATGAATGTGTAGACATGCCCACAGAGTTTTGGCCTCTGCTCCTCATCCATGCATATTGTGTATCCTGTGGCACTGCAGATGCCATAACTGGACAGCATAGATAACCTATCTCACCCTAGCTATATGTGAAATTATTAAAAGATTTATGCTAATGCCTGTAGAGAACAACCTATATGTAGGTAGCAAAATCAGGTTCCTAAAGGTCAGGATGTAGTCTTACTAAATGCATTTTTTAAAGGATATTTGCCTCAATCAGTACCCAACAGAATGGGTATTCAGAGAATGGGTAGCTATCTAATGTTTGTTTTTATTCTCATCACTCACCATGTCACCCAGTCCTTATTTACTGCATATTATTTAAAACCTGTAGTACATACACACATTCATTTCCTCATGAGCTTTTTTATGGCAGTTTGTCTGTAGTATCTGTGTGGTTTATAAACATTAGTGAATTTATGTGTACAGTACTTGTGTGATGGGTTATGACCTTATCCCTATTTTATAGACGAGACGGAAGAAGTAGTCCAACATTTTCAAGGCTCTATTCATTCTGGATGCCCACCTTCAGATGCTGAGGGTCTTTCCCCATCCCCACTCCCCCGACTACTTCACAGTTTATAGCACTTCATAAGTTTAAAGCACAGCTCCAATAGATTTAATTTGAGGTTCGCCAGCTCCTTCTGGCAGCTATTTCTCTCTTCTTAGCTCCTGTTACCTTGCTACTCTGTATCTTTCGCTTCTATTCTGCACTTCCAACCTTTTTTTTTTACTCCTTACCCCATTGCATTCAAATTCTGCTTGTTCCTCTATCCTGCTGCCAATGTGTCTTCAGAACACTGGAGAGAAACTCTATTCTGTTTCTAGCCAGGGACCACTTCCACAGTGGCCCCTGTTTGGAAGAGCAATTGCAGAGAAAATTTGCCTTAGCTTCAGCATAGAGTGTATATGGAGATATCCACAAAAACAGCAAAATCACACACAGACCGGAACACAGACCATCTCCAAAAATTTAGTCTGTACTGTAAATGGTAGAGACATAAGAGCTCTTCAGTGAAATGCATGGAAGAATTTCTGAGGGTGGATAAAACATTGAATATTCTCTTTACCTAATTCTAGAAAATGACTGAACTGTTTTGCTGATATTTAAAAAGTCAATAAATAAGCCTAAAGTGGATATCCATCATGGGAAACTTCATACAATTTAGCAAGGCTATAACCAGTTAATAATATGGTTTTATAATGGAAATGTCAGCCAATAAAGGCACTTTTGTTGTCAAAATTTCTGCCTACAAGATCCTTGCATACATTATTGCAGAGATTACAAATTTTGATACAAGTTTCATAGTTTCATAGATTGTAAGGGGCTGGAAGGGACCTCACAAGATCATTGGGTCCAGCTCCCTGAACTAGACAGGAAAGACAACTGGGGTCAGGTGACCCCAGTAAGGTCCAGTCTCCTCTTGAAGATTTTCAGGGTACATGATTGCACCACCTCTGGAGGGGGTTTATTCCACAGTCTGGAGACCCTGATTGTGAAGAAATTTTCCCTAGTATTAAGCCTGAAATGGTCTTCCAGGAGTTTGTGCCCATTACTCCTGGTTTTCCCCAAGGGCACCCTGATAGTGGTAAGAAGCTACCAAGTACCATCTCAGCCTTCTCTGTTTTAGGCTGAAGAGACTCAAGTCCCTCAGCCTTTCCTCGTATGCTGTGCAAGCCTTTGATCATATGTTTAGCTCTTCATAGTTTCATAGTTTCTAGGGTCGGAAGGGACCTGAGCAGATCATCTAGTCCGACCCCCTGCCATGGCAGGAAAGAGTACTGGGGTCAAACGACCCCAGTAAGGTGGTCATCCAACCTCCTCTTAAAAACCCCCAGGGTGGGAGCCTGCACCACCTCACATGGAAGCTG